GGAACATTTTAAATGTGTTCTGTGGTTATTTTATATCTACACAAATGTTGAACTTCTATTGATTTGAATGGTTTATGAGTAGAACTTCTAGATTTTTAATATAGACATATGGATAAACAATCATATATTTTTCTTTTTTTAATCATCAGATCACTTTTTTTCTTAGTGCATTGAACTGCATGGTGCAGTAGGTTGATAGTAGGCATCTTTTCATGCTTCTGATTGCAAAGAGAATTTTCTAAAATTTAATTTTGAAGACTAATATTTGCATTAGGTTTTTAGTAGCAGCCTTTTTCACTTTGAATTTAGTAAGGATGTGTAAATGATGAATTTCAAACATTCTTTAAAATTTTAAATAAGTGATTTAAAAATTATCTATTGGAATCGTCTCATGATGCTGCTATTCAAGTCTGCAAAGATGGCATAAACAGACTTTTTGAATTTTAAACTATCCTTGTATCTCTAAGGAAGACAAGCAAGTGTCAATTATTTTACCTTGTCCAAGCTAGCCTTCTGCACCTGTCTACCCACTGCATGCTGTAAACCCCAATGGAGCCCACTCAGGCAGTCAGTCCTGGTAAACTGCAAGGCTTGGACACCTACCCCTCAGCATGTCAGGTGGGTGGCTGGCACCACTCCTACCATGCATGTGGATGCACCTTATCCTTCCCAGACTTGCTCAGTCATTTAGCTGTAAGGCTGCTAAATTGTAAGGCCATATTGTTATTGTTATTATTACTATTTTTTTGCTCATTCTGCTGTATAAACTTTCAATGGAGTTTTTAATCTCCTGGATACATGTTTGCATCTGTTTTATGGATTCTATTTATTTCCTATGCTGGGATTCCATCATGTTCCTCTGCTCCTCTATTTTTTTTTATCTGTGTCTGCTCTAGAATTATTAATTATGCCTTTCACTATGGACACAATCTCTGTTGTTATCTGAGAAATTATTTCTGATGGTATTTTTTCCAGATCCTTTTTCATTGCCAGTTCAGGGAGTCCAGATGGTTGAGTTTCAGATTGTTTCATCTCATTGCTCCTTAAGGTTGCCTTTGGTGAACTTGAAGTCTGGTTTTGAGTCTTGTTTATGTGTCTTCTCATTTCAACAAATGCAGTCTGCTGCACCTTTATTGAGGTGACTCTTTGCTCTCCCAGTGGTCTTCAATTCTCAACAAGCCTCAGAGAGGCCTTATCTCTGCTGCTCACCACTGTACCAATTTCTGGGTTCAGAATGATGGCTTTCTGGATCCCCTCACTGTGCTGTTGTCTTGGCAGGCTTCTGGGTGGGGCCTGCATGTACTTACTGATGGTATCTGGGAGGGCCTGTTGCTGGGGCCTGGGCACAGTTACTGATGGTATCTCCTTACTATTATTATTATTAATTTTTTGTACCAGGGATTGAACTCAGGACCTTGTACTTTTGAGGCAGGTGGTAGCACCACTGAGCTAAGTCCCTGGCCCTCTTACTATTATTTTTTTTTTCTTTTTGGTACCGGGGATTGAACTTGGGACCTTGTGCTTGTGAGGCAGGCACCATCTTACTATTAGTTTTTGAGACAGAGTATCCCTGTATAGTTCAGGCTGGCCTTGAACTTGTTTTGTAGCCCAGGCTGGCCTTGTGTTCCCCAGCATTCTTCCTGCTTGCCTCTCAAGTCCTGGATTACAAGCATGCACCACCACACTATATTGTTATTAAATCAGGGCTGATAACACCAGGAGAGAAGCCAAAACTTCTCTAATTTTATAGATTCATAGCTCAAGAGTAGGAATTCTTCTCCCAGTCTGGTATTGTGCCCTGCAAGATCTCTGAGCACTGTCCTAGAATATAATGATTTATGGGAGCCTCACACAATTCCTACTTTTAAATACAGTGGTACCTCAGTTCATGAATGCTTTTCTTTGCAAACAGTTTGCTTCGTAAACAGAAGTGTTTGGCAAAATTTTGTTTTTGTTTGCAAAATCTGCATCCATGACATGTGGCCATCTTTTTCAAAATCATAGAACAAATAAGCTTGTGAACTAGGCACCACTGTGTAGTCTGATTTGATTTGCTTATAGCAAGATTTTTGCATAGATAAGATTCATAGATGCAGTTGATTCTTCTTTTTATTTTCTTGTATTACTTTTGTTTGGGTTTTGCTTTAACTTATTACTAAATTCTTAACATAAGTTATTTTTCTTAATGTTTTCAAAGTATCCATTGATTCTTTAAGTTTTATTCTTATTCTTATTGAAAAACAATAATTGCATATCTTTATGGGGTACAATATGAAGCTTTGATATACACATTAGGAATGGTTAAATCAGGCTAATGAGCAAATATTTTATCATGTTTTTGAGGTGTGTTTATTGATTCTTATTCCTTTCTATGATGCATATACGTAATACCTGGAGATTTTTCTGACTCTTTTTTTAATCTTGGTTGTCAAATTCCTTTTCATAGATTTTTTTAACATCTTGCTGAGTACTTTGAGGCCATTTTGATCTGACCACTTTTGTCATCCATTCTTGAAATATTTCCTATTATTTTTTATATTTTCCTACTTTTAAAAATATTTTCTTCTCCTGAAGTCTCTGTTTTGAGAATCATAGCTTTGATTTCCAAGATTGTTTTCACACAATGTTACAGAGTCGAGGTGTTTGTTAGAGAAGTATTTTGAAACTCTTGAAATGCAAGTATCCTAAAACCAACTGAAATTTGTAAATTAAGTAAAAAGGGGGGTTACACTAATAGACCTCAGAAGACCTGAGATGAAGCTGGTGTCAGGAGACACAAAATTCAGAGATGCAGACAATCCTCTCATCTCCACTTGGAAGTCAAGATTGGAGAGTGGTGGGAGAGAATTTTTTTTTTTTTTTGGTACCAGGGATTGAACTTGGGATCTTGTGCTTGTGAGGCAGGTGGTGGCACCACTGAGCTAAATCCCTGGCCCTGGGAGAGAACTTTTAGGCCTAAGGCCTTAGTATTATTTCACTTTTAAAATTCTATTATATATGTTGAATGTTGTGAGAAGTTGGGTCAGATAGATAATAGAAAACCCATTATTAAATTCAAAAAAAGTGAAGTTTATGGTTGTTGATGTTGGTTCTTTTAGAGAGGTGGAAGCCAAAGCCTGAATTGCATGGATTGAGGAGGAAACAAGAGATATAAAAATGAGCTGAGGATGGGGATGCACACCTGTAATCCCAGCATTTAGGAAAGCTGAGGCAGGAGGATTGCAAGTATGACTTCTCTGGGCAAGTTAGAAAGACTCTATTGCAAATAAAAGGGCTGGGTATGTGGCTCAGTATTAGAGTGCCCCTGGATTTGATCCCCAGTAACACACACAGATGGGAAAAAGGAGGTTATAATTGCACATAACCCTTTCCTCCTCCCTTCTCTCCTTCTTTTCTTTCTTCTTTCTATAAAATATTAAATAAAGTATTATTATTTTGGAGAATGACTGAGTAAAAGATAAAGCAGAAATTGATGCAGAAGAAAGAGAGAGTACCTATAAGGGCAGAATTCCTCCATCATTCATCATGGGAGTCTGGGATCTACTGCAAAAGTGAAAAGTTGGCCTTTGTAATGAGGGAGGCAGAAAGGCTGGTAGATTTTGTGGTGTGATACTGTAGAAGGATATCAGTTAGGATGCAAAAACAGAAAGACCAAATTATTAGTGACTTAATGGGAGAGACGATTATTTGTTCTTTAAGGAAATGTTCAGGTAGGCAGTCTAGGGCTGACTCAGTGGCTCCAAAATCAGTTACCTGGGCTCCATCTACCTTGTTGCTATGCTAACCTTAACATGTAGCTTACCCTTTGTCATCTAAAGGTTGCTGCTCTGTCTTCTGATATCATGTCTGAATACCAGCCAAAGGAAAGGGGAAGTGGAAGGGATAGTACATATCTTCTCTCTAGGAACAACCTAGAGATTGTCCCTGTTCTGTTCACATCTCACTGACTGGAATTTAATCACATCATCACCCTCCCTGCAGAGGAAGCTGGGACATTTAGGTCTTGGCTGTGTGACCGGGTGCCCAGCTATAAACAGTATCCTTTTTGTAAGAGAAGTTGAGAATGGGTACCAGGGAATGGGCTGGAGCCTCTGCTACAAGGATATAGTAGTTCTTCTCTGGTTACTTCTAATTTATCATTGAGGAAGTGAGTTTATCTGTTAAGTGTAGGAAAGGATGTGATTTTGGGGGTTTCAGGGCAAAGGAGAAGCAGCAAAATAGTCATCTTAAAAAGTAAGTTAAGTAGCAGGATTTCCAGGCAGTATGGAGGGACAAATTGAATTTTGTAAACAAAGGAAACAGATACAGATTATCCTGACTCCTCCTTGAAACTTTACACACTCAGAAAATAAAGAGTCAGGGCTGGGGATTTAGCTCAGTGGTTCCACCGCCTGCCTTGCAAGTGCAAGGTCCTGAGTTCGATCCCTGACACCAAAAAAAAAAAAAACCAGAAAAAAAAAAGAAAATAAAGTCAGAGTTTGAAGAAACTGTGACATAATGGTGATCAGGTATATGTTTCACTGGACCAAAGTTCTCCTAATAATTACACTCAATTCTTGGCTCAGGGGATGGTATATTTGTTTTCTTCATTTCCCAATCTGTAAATGAGCAGTTTACAAAGGGATCAGTGTTGACGTCCGTCTCTATGAGCTGACAGCTTTCCTTTGCCTGACTCTGCAACGTGGGCTAGGGTAGTGGTGGGACATGCAGCTGTCATGTGCACACATATGGTCTCTTGTCTGTTAAGTGAAGATGTCCCATTATTTTCTCAGGATAGATAGCCAGAGTGGAACCTTGGGAAGCTTCTTCATTTTTCCTGTCACAAAGAATTGGTGATTTGGTAGTCACAGGAGTTGGTAATAAATAACACACATTGATTTATCTGTTCCAGAACGGCCTTGGTTCCTTCCCTCCCAGTTCCCTGACATTTCCCCCAAGGGACAATGTTAGAAAATCATTTACAGAACAGCACAGACTCCCCTTCTGCTGTGGATATAAATCTAGGTAGCATGAGGTCAACCTGAGGCAAGGTATCTAGGACTTTTAGCCAGAGAACTTTGGGACAAAGACATTTGTGAATCCAGATCCTAGTAGCACAGGTAGCAGGGAGTAACCATGGAGAAGCTGCTGTGGTGTTTCCTGATCTTGATCAGCCTCTCTGATGTGTTTGGCCAGAAAGGTAGGGGCAATCCCAAGCTATGCCAGAGATTTGACCTGAGGGATAGGAGTGGGACTTAAGATTATATAAATTTAATTCAGAGGAACATCTTCATGGTTCTGTGTGAGTGTGTGTGTGTGTGTTTGTGTGAGTGTGTGTGTAACCAGAGAAGAGGTCAGTTGCTTTCTTGATGCCAACCTATTTTTAAGTGAGGCACAGATCTTTGTGATCTGAGAAACTTCTCATCTCCACTTGGTTTTCTGTTCCACAGACATGTCTAAGAAGACTTTTGTGTTCCCCAAAGAGTCAGATAACGCCTATGTATCCCTGAAAGCACAGTTGAAGAAGCCACTGAATGCCTTCACTGTGTGCCTCCGTTTCTACACTGATCTGTTCACGACCCGTGGATACAGCATTTTCTCTTATGCCACCAAGAAACATGATAATGAGATCCTTGTATTTTGGTCTAAAAATAGAGGATATCTTCTTGGAGTGGGTGGGCTTGAAGTACCATTCAAGGCTCTTGAAATTCCCATGGCTCCAGTACACATCTGTGCCAACTGGGAATCCATCTCAGGGATCATAGAGTTGTGGGTAGATGGGAAGCCCCAGGTGAGGAAGAGTCTGCAGAAGGGCTACTCTGTGGGGACAGAAGCCATCATCATCCTTGGGCAGGATCAGGATTCATTTGGTGGGAGATTTGATGCAAACCAGTCTTTAGTGGGAGACATTGGAGATGTGAACATGTGGGACTTTGTTCTGTCACCTGAGGAGATCAGCACAGTATATGCCAGTGGGACCTTCAGTCCTAATGTTCTGGACTGGCGGGCACTGAGATTTGAAACACACGGTGAAGTCTTCATCAAGCCCCAGCTGTGGGCTTGAGGCCCTTCTGTGGATCCTCAAGGTACCTCCTGCAGATTATACATTCTGGGCTCCAGATCTCTGGTTATGGACTTTCTCCTTATGGACCTTGTAGGTTTACTCTGCAGACAGCCTTTTATGTCCCTTCCTCAGCAGCAGAGGATGGGATTTACATGTCTGGCTTGGGAGCCTGTGAACTATCTTGAGATGTATTGCCTAGAAGGATCAGAATTGCAGATGTTCTGCTTACATATTTACTTTTTTAATTAAGAGAATTTGAGAGATAATCTCTTACCCTCATATAGATGAGAACTGGTACCCAGACAAAAGGAAATTTTTGAAAAGTCACATTGCAATTACATCTCTGAGATGGGACATGTGTGCTGGTCTTCTATCTAATTCCCTACCCAGGACATCTGAGAAAGTAGGAGAGACAAACCTGCATTCACAGGATTGTTCTGCATCAGAGTTAGGCCACTGGATGTGGTCTTGATTCAGAGTTCAGAGTGCTTATCACTGTATCATGGGGCCCAAGTCTTCTGAAATGGGAAACCCAGCAAAGCTATCACTTTTCCTCCACTTTCTCTAAGTACTGTAGAAAGGCAATCAAAGTGGCTCTATCAGAGAAAGCCTGTCTTTTTATTTTTCCTAGACAAAATGAGGCATATAGATATAGTTAACATTAGCTTACTGCCAGGGTGTTATATAACAATGGTTTTATTTGTTTTCAGTACTTTTTTAACTGTATGGTTCTTCTGGGAAACTCTTCTCCCAGTTCTTGAGTGGGGCTGTTCCTGCTCCACCTCCACCCCCACATTCCCAGCTTTCCCAGGCTGTAAGGGAGGATATGTGACCTAAGTGTCCTACCATAGTATCATCTCCCCACTCCCTCTGGGGATTGTTTTTGGTTAGTTACACATTCCAAGCTGGACAAATTATAGTCTTCCCAAGGATTGAGTCATGGACTTTGTGAGGGACCATCATCTTTCTGTTGGAATTCCAAACTGAGTGGTTGTAAGCCTGGAACCACCTGCAGCCATCGTGATTGTCAGAAGGAAAAAGATGTGGAGGAAAGAAGCCACTCTGGGCCTTGAAGAGCTGAGAGGGCAACAGAGTGAGTGATGGAGCCCTGACCATCTTGAATCTCTGAATCAGCTTTATCTGGAAAAAAATTGACACCTGGACTTCCCAGGCCTATGAACCAATAAAGCCCGGATTACTTGAGTGAGTTTGAACTGTATTCTGATGGTTGCACTGAACATTGTCGCAATTTCTCTAATGACTCTCTGAAATCTAGGTCCTGTGATTTCAGACTGACCATTACCATCCCGCAAGAACACATCCACAGCACCGTTACCTTTCCTAGCATCTCCTGCAGGGTTTTTTTCTGACAAGCACAGCGCCTCTTTTGTGAGATAGCTGGTCATGCCTCTGGGGTCATGTGTGGAAGTTTTACAGTCTCATTCCATCAATATTACAGTTTGAGGAAGAAAAATGAAAGATCACTGAGATCCACGAATCTGCTGTCAGGTGGAATGCTAGAATGCATTAACTTTGTCTGCGTGGCTCCCTTACAATAACAGATCCTTCAAGGATAATGGCTGCTGGTGTCCCCCAGAGACATCCTTTACCATGGTCTTTCAGAAATAAGTCAACAATTGAAGTTGCTCTATAGAGGCCACATCCAGGAATGAAATACAGTGCTCCTTGAACATCTAATCATTACTTTAGGAAAGGGATGCGGTAGAATAGTTAAACACAGAAGTTCTGGATTAGACCGCCTAGGTCCAAATTCTGGCAACAGCGATGTGACCTTAAGTAACATAACCTCTATGTCTAAGTTTTCTTATCGTTAAAGTGTGAGAAATGACAGCAATCAGCTCAAAGGGTTGTTCTAAGAATCAAATAAGACCATGCATGTATAGCACATAGTAGAGTGACTCGCACATAGTCATCTCTTATTACAGCTCTATTATGCTGTTTTGTATTATATGTCCGAACGTGATATACCACAAAAGTACAACCAGGTAGAATTTTTCTGGGTTGGCAATAACTGAAGGTCTGATTTGCTAAGAATTAAGTAAAGAATATTAGGAGGATGAACAGAAAATCTTTGAAGTAATTATTTATGAATATTGATTTCCCTAATTGACTTGTGATAACTATTTAGAAGCACAGAAGATAAGGAGAAACATTCTTGGGCAAAAATGTGAGTGCAGATATTCTCTACTGTCCAATTAGGGCAGATCCATATACCCTGACATTCAGCTAAGCATAAGAGAGGGTTGACACTATTTTCTAGTTAAAGAATCCAGACAGGAGATACGTCTTAATTACTGAAGACCATTCCAACTCCCTAAGGATATGGCTGAGCCAATATTTTTTTCAAAATTCAATTATGGGTACCTTGTTACCCATACTTTAGTGGACAGCCTCTGGCTCTAATAATTTTAGCCAGGAAGATTTTAACAGCTGGTACTTGCATCCAGTGAACACTAGAAAATCTTCATAAAGCATTCCTAGAATGTTAAAATTTAAGCAGTTTAGCTTACTGGTACATACTTCAATGTAATCTTGTTGGAAAATGCATCCCTAGGTAACTGGTAAATTATCATTTTGTATAGAGTTGTTAGATGTAATCTAATTAAGTGCTAGGTGACATCTGCCATAGGGGATGATTTTTGTTTGAACATGTTAGTACTAAGCCTTTAATTTTTTTTGGTAAATGGAGAGTAAGGTCACTCCTCCATTGAGGTCACATCTACCTGATATTGATAAAGTTATGTCATCAGCACTGGTTTTCCCAGGGATCATGAATTTAGTTTGCTCAGAAGTAAAACCAGGCATTAAGGCAGAAGTTAAAACGATTGAGGGCCAAATGATATATAAAACCTATTATAAAAATGAAAAGTAGTCCAGTGCCTGAGGATGTACTGTAGTGCATTTATAGGCCAAATAGAGGTGATAGACCAATCTATGGATCTGAGATTCTGCAGCTTGCTACCTGATAAGACCTGGTCCAAATACGAACACTTTAGCAGGAGATGAAGCATGAGATGGTGATGTACAAATCAGAAATGTAAATTCTTAAATCATTAACCAGGAAAGACATCTTGATATTTTCCAGTAAGAGGTGGTCATGAAGCAGATATGGTCAAAGCTGGGGTTCAGATAGGGTCAGATGAGTAGACTGGGTGCCATTTCTATGGTGAGGCCTGGTCTACCTTGGGCTTGAAGGCCAGATACAGGACCAACTCAAATGTGCACTTACAGCCTCACTTGACAAAGCAAGTAGAAATATTAGCTCTGTGAATTCCTCACCCCCATACTTTTCTTTTTGAAGTTTGATGTGTCCCAGGAAGTAAAGATTGACAAAGAAAGCAAGTGACTTCAGATCGTCAAACAAGAATAACAGCAATACAACACCCAAATCCAGTTTCCAACTGTAGATTTCTGATCCCAGAATCTCTGAGAAAAAAATGGAAATGTTGCTTTGATTTTTAAATGCTTTATTCTAAGATAATTACCCTCTTGTCTCAGATGAGCTGTGTAACCTGCCCAGATTCCTTCCCTTCAGTTCCTTGTTTCTATCTCATCTGTGCATCTTTTCATTCCTCCTGTAACAGAAAGTAGGTTAAGTAAGTGGTTAATCTTTTCCTTCGGGAAGTGCAGACTCTTAGTTCAATCCCTTAGATGACCTGACCCAGTGATACATTGTGGTCTGCTGATATAGCCATCATTATCACTGGGGTGTTGATCATGAGTAGAGATTCATTGACTCCAGAGCTACTACTAGGTCAGATTCTCTGGAGATAGAACCCAGGAATATGCAGGATCACAAATTCTCCTGCCTAATATGCTTGTTAGAGCTATCACTTTAGAATGTCTCTGGTAGCTTAGATGTCTTGTCTGAGGGACACACCTGGTACCCAGTAAGCTTGAAGGCTGTTAGTCAGTTTTAAAGAAGGATTTAGTGCAACTAGACTCAAAGTGTCTGGTGCATTCTTCAAAGACTCATTCAGTGGGTCCCATCTCCCCCAAGTCCTTTCATACACACAGATAAATGACCTCATTAGATTCTTTCACCATTCTTGTGGTATTGTCATGGTTTGGGTTTGAATTGGAGAAGCATAACAAAACACTGTTTCAGCACAAGTTTAGAGTTGTAGCTGCTCTAGGATTAAATAAAGGGACAACCCTGTATTTAACAAGTTATTTATTCAAGAAAGCCACACTATGATAACAAACATCCTGCTTGCTTTAGCATGCGTTTCTTCTCCCCAGAATTGTTAATTTGGATCTCTGCAATTTGGGGTGTTTGTCTGAGCTACAGGGGCTCTAATCAGGGAGAAACCAAAGTGCCATTATGTCTGAAGAAGCTGAAAACCTTAGGAATTTTTATTGGAGCATCATAAGCCCTAAGAGGAAGAGAAGACTCTCATGTAACCTATTTGAGGAGGGGTCCAGTTGCATTGCAGGCCGATTTACCACACCCCATTCTCTGTGATGTGATGGGAGCAGTTACAGAGCTGTGTTAGCAGCTTGCAGGAGCTAAGGGTGGATTATGAACTGGTTTACACAGAAGGTCTCTCAATTTCTCTTCTCTTTCTCTCTCCTCTTCCCTTTCTACCTTCTTCTCTTTCAATTTTAAGATTTATTCAGAATATCCATTTGAAGATAGCACTAATAACATAGTGAGCACCAGAAATCTAAAATTTCCAATGTGCACTCATCATTTTGGTCGCTGTATTCATTTGACTCATCTGGGGAGCCCAGATGTTAACAAGCAATTTTGGTTTTGGGAAAACATCACTTATCAGATTAAATATTTCACCTACCTGTTTAAATTATGCATGCATCTTTTATTGGGAAAATGGCTAGAAGGATAGGACAAAAGCTTTTAAAAGTCATTAGGTTAGGCCAGTTTTATATATTTAAAATCAGATGCAAGAAATTTGGGAAAGGATAATTTAAAAGAAAATTGAACATACATCATTAAAAAAACCATTCTGGAAATGTCCTACCATTCATAATAGTCCTTTTGTCTTGCGTGTTTAGAATATACTACCCACATGTGAGTCAATTCTTCCTGTCAATGGAGAAATAACCTCTATTATCAATTCCTCATTGAACATCAATGGGAAAACTCATGCATAAGCTCAAGATTTTTTACATGAAATTAAACTGTTTTATGTAGGAATTTATACATTGCAAAATACTTTGTGCCTAAATGCATATATCTCAAGGATATTGCCTAACGGATACTGCACTCTGCTTTAGTCTTTCTGGGCATAAAGCCAAATAGCCACAGTCAAACTGGGTGTCCTATTCATAAAATGAAACAGCAGCTTTTCAAGCTTCAAGGACTACTGATCTTTATTCTTTCTTTTCTTGTTTCTTAATTACACACATACACACACACGCACAGTCACACACACAGCTTTTTAGGAGCAATACAACTGCATTATAGTAATATTGTAGGAGAAAAATCCTACATAATTTTACTACTACACCATGAGCATATGATTTGGGGTCTTTATATTTTTCTCCTAAAATAACTACTTCTTTTAAATATAGTATATATACAAATCTTTTTATTTTTTTCTCTTTTCTATTCATAAGCATTTTAACATGTATTCTCTCAACTAACATGTAAAGTGGCTTTTGATTCTGTTTAGTGTAGCTGTATACAATTTACTTAAACATATTTGATATTTAAATTTTTCAGTAAGGTCAAACGGCTGTTTTTGTGACTAAAGCTCCCCTCCCCCACACTTTACATCATTTCCCAGGATGTGACTGTCCTAATTTACCAGGGAGTGCCACACAGGTCTGTTGGAGCACCAGCCGGCACTGTGGAGTCTCTAATAAATAACCCATATTGATCCCTCATTTCGTGATTTATCTTGCTCTCTTTGGTCTTAGAGCTTTGATTCATAGCTCCAAGGGGCAATTTTGGAAAATCATTTACCAGCTGAGACACCCTTACTATAGCACATTTAAGGTCAAGGTGGAGCAGACCTGAGACAGAGGGATCCCAGACGTCCAAACCCAGATCCTCAGTTGCTGACACTTTTTCCAGGGGGATAATCCAAAGTCTGTTCACACCCGTAGCAGGGAGGGAGCACAGAGTGGAGGGCTTGGAGCTGTTTCTGGCCTTCATCATCCTCCCTGCTGCTGCTTCCCAGGCGGGCAGGGCGGGCACTGCTGCAGATGAGACTTGTCCTG